GCATGGAGGACGTTCAACAAACTTTTCCCAATTCTCGTAGTTGGCTTCTCCTCTCAGCATAACGGTTGTTAAAAGAATCCCTGGGCTATCTGATCCAGTCAGATAGAATGGTGATCCAGGGTCTGATGGCTTCAACCTGCTGCTGTTTTCATTGGCCATCTTCAACAGAAGCTATCTCCTGCTCACTGCTTTCAGAGTCTACACGTTGCGGAAGTTTTTTTTTTTTAACAAGGGATCGCTCTGATACCATGATAAATGGTATCAATTGATAGTATTTCCATTGATTTAAAACTGTACATCAATGTATCTTAAATAGAATAGGCTGTTACGGCTGTTACCAAACAGTCTGTTACCAAATAGTAAAACAACTTCCTAAAGATAAGTAACTACACCTAATTACAATAGGACTCAGTTATACATATCCTAACAAACTGCAGGTTACAACATATCACAGCAAATCATAACAACATATAGAATCTTCTATTCCAACACATACTACACAGATTCAAATAAACAAATTGTATCATCGTCTCCCAAGTCTTTAAATATAGGGTCAGCCTCACTGTATATGTCAGTATATGTTTCAGTTTGGACGATCATGATTTCACTATGGTAAGAATAACAAGAAAATAATAGGAAAACAAAGAACTAGTGTTATGCCTCAACAATCACTAAGCAACATATTCATAAAATTTTAGCTCTTTAAGTGTTCGGCAACTCAATTTCTTGTTCCATCAAAATTGGTTTAAAACTGGGATCTATTAAGTTCAAAATCAGAAACATGGCGGCAATACTTTTTAGCAGGGGAACATATCTGTAAGCCCGGTTATATGCAATAAACTTAACCTGTGGATATGTTTTACGCTCAGAAATATTTAAAGGGCCTGGTGATGAAATAGCTGATTCTGAATGAGTTGACGATGTTATTATCTTGGCAGTCGCTGATGTAGTTCCTTCTTCAACACTTTTCTTAATACCCTTGACAAAATCAAAAATTATATTTAAGTGTGGACTGTGGAGCATAATTCCATTGAAAAAGATAATAAGCATAACAGGGGAATGCCTTCTCTAGAGGAGCAAGAAATGGTCCTAGTGATGTGCTCCTTGTTTCTGAATCAGTGGACATAGTTGCTGTTACAGTTTTCTCTGATGCGGAACCCTTTTGAATGCTTTGATCCTACATAAAAAATGCAAATAAGTTGCAATATATTTCTAAGAAGTATATGGAAGTACTATTCATATTCATTTCCTGTTATGTTTTTTGGCATGATGTACATGGTCAGGTGGTATTACATAATTTCCCTGAAGAGTTTTAAAGGTAGTATCAGGTTCTACCATATTTTGTTCGTTTCCTGCAATACTAATAAGAAGACCTTGAAGTGGACTCACATGTGAATGTGCTTCATCTAGACCGATATCCAATGAACTTGGACGTGGCCTTCTAATTCGTTCTGAATGTGTTGGTGAAATAGCTATTGATGGAATCTCTAAACCAGGAACTTTTTCAACAATTTCATGTTTTGCCTCAAGTGATTGTTTGGTTTTTGTCTCTACATAAATGAACTCATTCGGTTCAATCTCATCTTCTTGTTGATCAGTATTGACGTGTGAAGAAATCAACTCACTCCCGGATGCTGCTTGAACATGAGGCCCACCTGGAACTTCTTCAGTGATTTCTGCAATTTGATTTTGATTGATGGTATCTTTGTTATTAGAGTCTTCTTCATCAAGTTCACCAACCTTGTGGATGTCTTCCCTCATTTCAGCAACCATGTCTTTCACCTCATCCCAGCCAAACACATCCCAACATTCTATAATAAAGTATTATAGATCAAGAACTCCTTCAGCTAGTAGCTCATAAGAATTTTTGTATTTTTTTTAAAAGCAGTAAAGGTATAAAATTATTTGTCTATCTTTACTAATAATTATTAAAGGGTAATTGATTTCTTCTATTGCGCCTCAGAAAAAAGGTATCTACTGCTCATCCAAAACAAGGTGGGGTCCAGGGAAGAAAAAAAAATCAAAGTGGGGCCACACCTTATTTTGTGTCAACAGAAGACATTTTTTTCTCCAGCAATAAAAGAAATCAATTACACATAATTAAAATTATTCTCTAATTTTATCTTTCATATAATAGAGCTTTTATTAGTTAATGTGTAAACTTCTATTCAAAATTGTTTATGGGAACTAAATGTATCATGTTGTAAGAAGTTGGTTGTGTCATGCTATATATATATAACCAATGTGGATCCTACCACTTTTAAAATAAAAAGAAAAGAAAAGAAAGTTGTGGGGTTCACATTAGTTGCGTCTATAGCATGACACAACAAATTTCCTACAACATGATATATTTATTTCCCATTGTTTATATACTTCAATCAAACTGTTTAAAATTTTAAAGGAAATTTTCAAAAAAAAAAAAAAAACTCCTTCTAACTTTTCTCATAATCATTTATCCCCTCCCCAAAATTTTGAATCTTTTACACCCCTGACTTAAATATTTTTTATTATTTAGCCCCCTAAGTGAGGGAGGTAAATAATAAAAAAACTTTAAGTCAGGAAGATAACTGATAAAAAAATCTAAATAAGGATGTAAATGATTCAAAAAATTTGTAAGGGAGGTAAATGATAATTAAAAAATTCATAGGGGAATTTTTAAAGTTTTCCCAAATTTTAATGTTCAACGTACATGGAAGGCGAAGGTATATGAATAACTTTAATATATCTCAGATAATAAACAACTTTATTTTTAATTCTTAGGAGAATAAGTCGTAATTAAGAAATAAGAGTATAGTTTTATGCTAATTAGAATATTGACGTGTTTTGTAAGGGGACTTCCTAATTAAATTAAGAAATGAAAAACTCTAGATATTTATCTCCAAGTGCTTTGCGAGTAAAGTTAATACCTTTTATGAACAGTTGCGAAACTTTTTCAGATAAATTTTATAAGAATGGTTTAACAAAAATTGTAGAGAAAATCAACTATTAAATCAATTCCATTCCACTTACTAGATTATTAATGGTTTAAAACTTCTATTTTCCAAGTAAAAAAAAAAACTACTGCTCATTGTAATCAATTAAAAGGGCAGGGATCAACTTAATATTAATTTAATTCTATTTGTATCCAATGGTTTATGTAAATTCTTATCTTCAATAAATTAAAACCATTAGATGTAAAAAAATCAATAATAGATAATAGATATACAAAATTTTGTTCTTATACTGATATAAGTTGATTCATCCCACAATTAAAATCACATATTTGTAAAACTAACTCTTTTGTAAATGTTTGCATTAGAATAACTTAGAGACAATACCCACATAAAAAGGGATACACATCTATACTTTATAAATTTATTATTGATGACCCACTTGTATTAATAAGTAGTTAGTTTTATAAATGTTAAATTTCATTAAACTAATTGATAAATTGAAAGTTTGTTAATACGTCATTGCATTATATGTATTGTTTTTTGAGTAAACACCCTTTTTAGTCCCTGGCAATATCTACGAAGTCCTTTTCAGTCTCTGGCAATAAAAAAGGACCAAATTGGTCCCTGAAAGTACAAGAAAAGGGCCACTCTACATATTTGGGAGTTGACATAAGGACTAACATAGCCCTTTTTTTGTAATTTCAAGGACCAATTTGGTCTTTTTTTATTGCCAGGGACTAAAAAAGACTTCGTAGATATTGACAGGGACTAAAAAAGGTCTTTAGTCTTGTTTTTTATATGCATTATATGTAATTATATTATAAGAAGAGAAGTTATCTTAATTAATATTCTATACAAATTCTGATGAAAATAACAAAAATAAAAGCATAACTTTGTCCAAAATTTTGTAAATACTCCATGATACGGGGTACATTTGGAAGAAGTTGCCATGACAGAAATGTCAAATTTTGAATTATATTTTATGATTCCAAGCAATGCAATTATGTAGAACGAGCATGTCAAGCTTTTTTTTAAAATAAAAAATAAAAAATTACAGCATATAAAGTGTACCTTCATGAATAAGCATCGGAACCTTGTAAATATTTGTCGTTGAAGTCAAAGATAGTTTTGGACAATTATGTACGAAACGACTTGTTGCAGTCTGAAATTCAATCTCCCCGTAGAGGTTTGGTAGCTTGACAAATAATGCAAATTTCAAATTTGGAAGCTCAACTTTGTGATCACCTTGTTCACATTTAAATATTTCCTCTAGCTCAGATGCTTCTCTCATTATCACACTGTTTAGCTCGGGAAACACTTCATATGTGGAAACAGGGAAGACACATTTCAACTTGTTACATTTTTCTACCACAAGTACTGTTAGATTTGGAAGCTCAACTTTGTGATCACCTTGTTCATATTCGAATACTTCCTCTATCTCAGATGCTTCTTTTATTTTCACGCTTTCTTGCTCGAGAGACACTTTATATGCGGAAACAGGGAAGACACGTTTCAACTTGTTGCATTTTCTTACCACAAGTTTTGTTAGCTTTGGAAAGAATGTCTTTGGAGAGAGAAAGTTTGACACATTTCGATTCTCCACATCCTCTTCAATGATCTGCTTCAATTCTTCGCATTCTGTTATCTCTAGATTTTGCAATTGAGATAGGCATCTTGAAATAGAAGCAGAAAAGATTACTTCCAATTTTTCACATCGCTCAATTTTTAAACTTTCAAGGTTTTGGAGGCTAAAAGAATTTTTGGAACCCACAAAAAGACACGTCATTTGTGGCAAATCAAGCAAATGAATCTTTTGTAACCGCAAGTTCATTGGTTGTCCGTTTATTTCATTGAGACAAAAAATATTTTCTACTTCGGACCTGCCTACCACCAAATTTTCCAGAGTGAGGAAATGTTGCTGCAGGTTCCCAGTTAAGTCCTTTAATAAATAAGCACAAAATAATCAGATAAATAAAATTAGAATCCCTCTAATAATTTTAAAATGATATTTAGAGATGCAATAAATTAGCAACAAGAAGTATGATAAAAACTTTTAATATTGTAACTTCAAACCTTGGTGGTTGTGGCATCCTGTTGTCTTGAATCCATTTGAACCATCAAATCACCAATACATTTAATGGTTAACTGGGAACATTCATTGAGTTCAAACCCAGTCAAAGGTGGCGACGATGTGCGATAATTTTTAGGGCTAATGCCGATTAAATTTGGCAGATTGAAAAGATAGAGATATTTCAATGCTGGAAGATGAAGGTGAATCTCATTATGGTTTTGATGATCATCAGGGTACTGCCCAAATATATATTCCAATTTCCTACAAAAGCTCACGGAGAGCTTTCTTAATTTTGGAAAGACATTGCCCCAGTCTTTGCCACCGCTGTCATCTCCATTATCTATTATTATGTGCTTCAATTTACGACAATGCTGAACTATCAAAGTTTCCAAAACCATTGTTGGAGCAATAGACAGAATAAATACGGATTCTATCCTTGGAAGATTCCATAGTTGAATCTCTTTCATGTTACGCAGGATCTGGAATTGTTTTGAAAGACATTGAGCACCTTCCCAAAGCTGAAGATGGTATGAGTTCGATGCCTGTAAAGTAATCCCAACAAAAAAGAACTCAAATCAAACCACCCAATCTCTCGGTGGCGCAAAAGACTTAATTTTTCTATAATACATATCCTAAAGATTGGTTCACATTAAATGCAATTAATCAAAGCTTTTAAACAACTAGAATAGTATTCAACTTCCAAAACTATTGATACCGAAAGAAATATAACAATCACATACACAATACTAGTAGTGTATTCTAATTAATTCTCAGTTATTGGTGATTTGCTATTGTATTAACAGTAATATTCAAGGTTGGGATGTTTAATATGCACGGTGGCTATAAATACAAGGTACGTGCTATCAATCAAAAAGAGAAAGTAACAAAAGATACCACAAGAAGGTGAGAGGGTTACCGATGAGGCTGAGAAGCGATGCAATGGGATTTGAGCACTTGTGGAACTCCTCAATTTGTGTCTATATTTATGAGTCAATGTGAAGATATTGCATTTCATTGGCTCCGATTGCATTTGTGACTTGGAAGATAAACTCTTTCTGGACGAACACTCGGGACGATAACTTTTGGCAAAAATGTCGATGAAACTTGGCAAGGAAGTGAGCAACATTTTTTGCAATGAAGCAAGTACGACATCCTTTACCTCTTGATGCAAATCCAGCTCTTCATTTTCATGTTGGTATTTGCCAAATATGTATCCTATAGTGACAGATTCTAGTACAGGAACGTCTCGAGCAGAAAGGACCGGAAGTATAAATTCCAGTAGGGGACATCTCTCGATATAAAGAGTTTTCAATTTTGGAAACATTGAACCGGGACTTTTTCCCTTGTTATCATTATCACCATCAACTGTTTTGTCTCCCAATTCCTCCCCAGTTCTTTCATCTTCTATTATGTTTTCCAGTTGCTCACAGTCATGTATCCCCAATTCCTCCAACTGCATTAGGCTTTGAGAAGTCAACAATGGAAATAGGGTTACCAACTTTGGGCAATCCCGCAGTGTAATGGTCTTGAGATTGGAGACGTTTAGCTTGCTCTTAAACAATCTGCTTCGCAAAACTTTACAGGATTTGATACTTAGCGTCTCTAAACTCTTCAGAAAGTCAGAGGGAAGGGGACCATTGCATAGTTCTTCCAAATTTTTCATTTCCGTCAATTCTAGTACATTCAACTTGGAGGTGATGTTTTGTTCCGGAGTAATACGCCGACTGTCAATTAGAAATTGTAATTTTGAACAAGATTTCAAACAAAGCTTCACTAGATGATCTATCGGAACAGTATCAGGTATGAGATTTCTCCACTCCCCCTTAAATCCTTCTAGCTCAAGAGCCTCTGCTGTTTGCACCAGATCCTTGAATGTTGTTTCAGAGAAATAAGTATCAATATTTAGAATAGACACAAATTTTGATATTGAATCGTACGCTTCAATACCAAACCCATACCGATACTGATCTCTTATATGATACCTTTGCAATGCAGGAGGCAAGGTTATTTTCTTATGAATGGCTGAGCTGTGAACCTTGAATTTAATGAAATACAATTCTTCTAGTGATGAGCATCTTTCAATCACTTCAAATGCATTATTCCCTCCAATTTCACAATGATCCAACTTCAGCAATCTAAGTCTCTTTAGCTCCGCAATTTCACGTGGCAATTCGACCACTTCACAACGAACCAAATCAAGGGCCTCGAGGCTTTGTAGTTTTCCCAGAATAGAGATGTCACCTAATCTCAATCTTTCCAGGATTAGAGATCGAATATTCGTCAATGACTCGATTGACTGTGGCAATGATAGAGACGTTCTCCTCCAATCCTGAGATGATAAATGTAAAACTCGAAGCTTTTTCATATTTTCGAAGAATGACTTTAGCATTGCCATTGAGCCTCCTTCAACCATACAGCTAACTTTAAGAATCTCAAGTTCGGAATCATCAAACCTATAAGAAAACACATCCTTGTCGTTGCCTTCCAATAACAAATATTTCATACTCTTCTCCATTTTTACCAATGACATTTGATGTTTGTCAGACAAATTCATTGCTCGAATCTCTTTGTTAGCCATCAATAGAGCAACTTCTCGAACCAAGTCATGCATTTTTACCCTTCCTTTCTCAGCCTCCAATAATAAACTAGAATCTATGAGATCATATTTGGCATCAGCTACTTTTAATCGAGCAACATTGTATTTGTTAAAAACTTCCCCAAAAAGACCAGCTCCTATGCCATATCTAGTTAAAATTTCAGCAGGAAGCTCTTTATCTTCTGGGAACAAAGAACATAAGAGGAACAGTTTCTTGGCTTCTTCTTTCTCCAAATTATCATAGCTATATCTCAAACATTTATAAACTACATTCAAACTTTGATCAGCACCGTGTACGGGCATAGCATTTTTCAAGGACGTTAAGACATGATCCCATTTCTCCTGTCGTTGTTCTTGGCCCTTTAATCTTTTAGCCACAACTTCAATTGCAAGTGGTAATTTTCCGCATTCTCGGGCAATTTGATGTCCCTTATCCCGCAAACTTGGAGTTGAACTATCGCTTAAACCAGCAAACTTCTGGAACAGGGTCCATGCGTCTTCATCTGATAAGAGATCCAGATTAATTATCCTGTCGCATCCCATTGAGTTGAATACACTTACCTCCCGTGTGGTTAGAAGAACTCTGCAACCCTTGTGTTGGCCCCTACCTGGAATCCCTATTTTATCAAATTCGACATGCTTCACAGTATTTTCCCATACGTCATCCAATATTAGAAGAATTTTCTCACCATTGGTTAATCTATTCCACAGTAATCCTTGTCGTTGTGATTCAGTCTTGTCCTTCAATTCTAATTTCAACTGTGCAGCAATATCATCTTGAATCTTTCTTATGTCAGGAGTAGATGACACTGTAGTAACAACAACTTTTTTAAATTCTTCCAATTGCTCGAGTTCCTGACCCACTTCTATTGCCAATGTAGTCTTACCGATGCCGCCCATACCTTGCAACACGGTTATACAGTTGTTGTCATTTTTCAGTGCATTCAAAAGTTCTTCGCATTTCAACTTTCTGCCATTCAGAGAGAGGTAACTGTTTAAAGGAAAGCGTTTGACACCTGGATGATCAGAAGGTACTCCCTCAGTTTTCAAGGTTTCAGCTTCTTGCAAGAGTCCTGTAATCGCCTCCGTGTTTTTTGACAGTGCCTTTCCCTTACTATATCGCTGCCAGAAGGGACCCCATCTTAAATACCATGTCTTTTCTATTTTGGTGTCCTCTTGAATGGCCTTATCAGCTTCCTCTATCCAGTTAACGACATCATTTGGAGCATCTTGTGCGTTGCTGGTTGTCGCATCACAATGTTGCTTCACAGCCTTTAGTTTTGCTTCCAACTTTCCTTTTTGCTTTTTATTGTCAGCAGCATTGTCCCTCAAGCAACACATATACCCTGCTTCTTTTAATGCCCGGTCGATAACTTTATCCAGAACTTTCTTTGCCACTTCATTTGGGATATCCGTCATCTAAATCAACATCAATAGATGAAAGTTAGTCAAATCTTTACGACAACCTCCTATACATATTATCCAACTGCATGAATAAAATTCCACGTGGTTCTTCAAAAATAGAAGGAAAAAAAAAAACCATCTAACCGACATCTGTATATAGATATTTAAATGATATTAGAAATATACTTAAATATTTATGTTATTGAAAAAATAAGGGTGAATTAAGGATAAGGATTTAATAGTTAAGGCGGTAAAGATAATGAAAAAGTAGAAATCAATTAAATGTTATAGACCTCCTCATTAGAAGAGAGCTAATAGTACTTAAAATGAAAAAAAGAAAGAAAAGAAGAAAAAGAAGAAGAGAGTAGGAAATAACATGTTCTAACCTTTATCTAGAAAATGTAGTACACGTCTTATCCTAACTTAAGTAATGGGAAATTGCAAACTAAAATTTTTCCTAATGTAATCCCATACTCGCTTCAATGGAATCATGTTAAAGTTTTCAGATATCCTATCTTCTCAACTAATTGATTGGTCTTCTGATACATATTTTGTGGAGTTCATTGTTTAGTTAATTTGTGAAACTTATTAAAGCCCATATAGCATAATTAGTGTAAGTCTATTTCAATTGTTTAGCTCCACGAAGGGGCAATAAATGATATAAAAATAAAACAGCTGACTATTTGATTGGCAATAACGTCACAGGTAGAAGATTTTATTAGAGTATCTTGTACAAATTCGGATAAAATATGACAAAAAAACTAAAAGAAAATATTAAAAAAAATGAAAATATAAATAAAATATGCATAATCAATTAAATAAAAAATAAAAAAATTATCAACATCAACACCACTAACACTTTTATCCCAAACTAAATGGGGTCGATGGTACATGAACTCAAATAGAAGGTACGAAAAGATAAAATAAAATAAATAAAAAATAAAAGAAGAAGAATAAGAAGAAGATGATCGGGAAGAGGAAAAGAGATAAAGAAAAAGAAGAGGACAAGAAGAATTGGGAGGAGATGAAGAGGAAAAAAACTAAAAATGAACCATCTGGAATATAGAAATATCAACGTGTCTAACCATCTACCATGCAAATAGTTTTTCTCCATTTCGTCCTAAGGCACACTGTCTGCCAATCTATATCTCACTCCATTAAGTCTTTTTCAACTACCTTCCCCCAAGCAAGTTTCGATCTACATCTACCTTTGTTTGTATCAAGCTTTTGGTAACAAACTTTTGTTCTTACGGGAATATCCAGAGACCTTCTCACTACATGCCCAAACTATAATAATCCTCATATGTAATTGTGGATTTAATTATGAATTAATAATTTTAATCATATTATTGAAGAATACTTATAAGGAAAGTAGAAGAAAAAGAAATAAAGTCACCTTTGATGAAAAATGAGTTAAAACGACAGTTAAGGGGTAAAAATGTGGATAGGTAAAGTTACACAAAAGTGAAAAGTAAAATGATAAATATTATCATAAAATATTGTGAACCAATGTGTAAAGTTAGAATGAGAGTTAAGTGAACGGGATAGATAAATTTATACCCGCTAGTGTAGTGAACTTACTTAAGTGTGTTAAAACACTCCTCTCTCGTTGTCCATTTCTTCTTCTTCTTTCGACCAAGCAGAGACAAGACGACTTCCATGGTTGCTATTCCTCAAGAATTTTCCTTCATTTTCTATCCATTTTCAAGCCTAGAGATCAACATGAAACTTGTAGCCTAGATCATTGTGAACAAAGCCCAACCGTTTATACACCTTGGTAAGCTCTTGGGAGAGAGATTTTTGCATCTCTAGGTCGCTGTGATGTTCACAAAGAAAAGAAAAATGATGCTTTTCTTGGCTTGAAGGCTTGGATTGTCTTTCTCTTAGTGATTTGAAGCTTACAAGGTAAATGCCCTAACCTCCTCTTGTATTTTTGGAGAAAATGCATGACTTAGGGTTGTATAAATTGGGATTTGATGGTATGGATAGTTAGAGAGTGATTTGGATATAGCTTCTTTTGTTAAATATGCTTAGGATTGCTTCTTGATGAAAGACAAAAAAAAAAAAAATCATTGTTTAGCACACTATAGAAAACCATGATTTTTGACTATATGTCAATTGCGAAAATTAAATGGTATGAGTAGTTGGAGGGTGATTTGTAGATAAGTTTCTTTGTTAAACATGTTTGGGATTGGTTTCCGTAAAATCAAAAATTATGAAATCGTCATTTAGAACACTTTGATAAATTAGACTAAAAATCAAGTGTAAGTGTCTTGTATGTGTAGTTTTGAAAATTAAATGTGGTAGACTAGTATATATATAGTAATTGTCTTCACATATTTGGAATATGTTGTGATATTGTGAGAGATTGTGGTTGTGACCCCTTGGATACAAGGAGTGCATTGGAGGACAGTGCTTGACAGGTAAGCTTTCGGTCCTTGGGGTTAATCCTCCGTTTGTTCCACCAGACTCCGAGGGAGGATGGTAGTTTGATATGGTATGTTGAAAATAAATTGTTATATGTTGCATGTATATGTATGTATGTTTATATGTCACACAAGAGGTGTTTCTTTATGCATTGTATGAGACGATGTTTTCTTATACGATATGTTTCAAGACGATGTTTCCTTGTGTAATGCATCCTTGTTATATTATCTGGCCAATAGAATTTATTATTTTCACACTGCATTGTCATACATATTCTGATGCATGCATGGATATTTTATGTATTGTAATTATACTAGAAGTGAGCTTAGGGGTGAAGGAGCCCTTCAAGGGTCTCTAGCTTACTGAGATAATTATATTATCTCACCCCGCATTATGAGGATTACCATTTCAGGTACAGGAGCTGATGGTGCTGAGGCATCGCGTGGTAAGAAACAAGATGAGAGATATTACCTGACCTGATAGTTAGGATTAGCTTGTTATGCTGATATGTATTTGGCATGATTTTATTTTGGATATGTATATATACCATGTTATTCTTTTGGAGAGCATACGGAGTGTCTATGCTATGTCGATAGTCTGTATATGCTGTTAGTGATGTATGCTTAGATCTATATTACTTATTTAATTTTATCTCTTTTGTTTATTTGATGTAATTATATAAGTAACATGATGGACATTATTTTAAGACAGTATGATTATGAGATAGGCTAAGTCATGGATGGCTAGGAAATATGTTTTATCTATGCTGTGGTATACCTAGATTATATTAAACTGTTAATCCGGTTGAAATTATAACGGTGGGAATTATCCCCAATGGTCCAAAATACAGACTAAATGTTGTCCGATTTATTTTGGCCATCGAAGTGAAAAAGTTTACAATCCATAAGGAAAAAGAAAATTTATTTAATTAGCTTCCACATTAATTAAGTAGAGCATGTTGCGCTTATTATCATATGAATGTTAATTAAGCGGCTAAAGACGGGGCGTTACACAAACCATCTCAATCTATGTTCTCTCATCTTTTCAGCCACCGGTAATACTCCTACTTTGCGTCGAATATCTTCATTTCTTATCTTATCCATCCTCGTATAACCACACATTGGTTGTACAGGTAACCAATGTGGGATTTGTAACATTGTCACCCCCTTTAAGGGCCACTATCGACAATGACCTGATGGTAGTCATTCCAGCCAATAGATGGCCCTTTTTATGACCTCAACTCTCAACAAAAGAACCAATTGTTACAAACCTTGAAGTCACCATCCTAAAAAGTAGCTTAAAGGATGGGAGTGTTAAGCCTTTACAAACCCCACATTAGTTGTATAAGCAACCAATATGGAATTTGTAACAAACAATATATTTTAGATCAGGTAAACTTTATGAGAAAGTTGATGCGCTAATTCTTTAGTAACAATAACTACTTACATTGTAACAACAATAATAATAATAACATGGATCGTACATAAATTTCTCTTAAAATTTTATCTATATATATTAAAGAAAATATTTATTATTCACGAGTGGAGAAATATCGGAATTTGTAAGCTAGCTTCATAACTTTAAATAATTTGTGGATATTATGTTTTTTTTTTCAAAAAGTGGTAAGCCTTAATAATACAAACACTTATGTTAAATGTACATACATCTAATTATTAATTATATTAGCACAATAAAAAGCAGACAACCAAAATAAAAAATAGAGTTAAATACATATCTACCTTAATCTTTTCCAAAGTTTCTGCTCTTTCCTTCAATGCGGACTTTGATCTTGATCCTTTTCAATTTTGAGCATTCATCAAAAGTTTCTTTTCGTTCGTTCCTTTTTAATATCCTGAAAATAATTAACACTGCTACCTATGAGAAAAAATAAAAGAATTTAAATACCAACTAAATGAAAGCATGTATTTTATAGGCAACAAATTAAAGGAAAATATGTACAAGCTCTCTAATAAATATTCTACTAATTACATATTCAATTAGACCTATGGTTAAAAATCAAACATAAGTTTCAAGCTTGTTTTGGGTAATAGCAACGAGATTTTTTATTATTGTATTAAAAGTAATTAGGATTTCAAAGAAATCTCATTCATTTGATGATAAATAAAAAGAAAATACAACTACTTGCAAAATATCAAAAAGAAAAGCAACGGCTAAGCTGCACCTCGTAATTTATGTACATGGATGACATCGTGCAAGTTAACTGCTATTAAAAAGAGTTTTATGTTATTCATAAATCAACCCCAAACGTTGCTTTTTTATTTGCAATTACTTAAACACATTTCATTTTATATTTACATTTTGACCAAACTCCTTTTCGTTTTCTAACATCCTAAACTCCAAACTTTAGTATTCTTTTCATCAAGAATTTCATTCATTCATATTAAATATCCTTAAAGCAATCGATCGAAGGAGAACAATTAATGAAAAATATAATAATAACTTACGTATATGAAAAATCGGCCTCAAGATCCACCGAACATTATTCCTGCTTCGTGTTAAGATTCTCTGATTAAGAAAAAATTACTATTCAGCTAAAATAAATAAATAAAAGGAAGCCTGCATCTTCT